ACTGATTTATACCTGTCTTTGGAGATTTCCATTACTTGCATCTGAAGAAGTGAGGTTCTTACCCACGAAAACTTATGCTCCCAATACTTCTGTTAGTCTGAAAGGTGCCACAGGACCCGCTGTTGCTTTTTACAGATTCAGACTAACACGGCTACCCCTCTGATACTTGTAGAAACCCTGTATCTCCTGCAGTCAACAATGGTACCATTTAATTAGAATAAGTGCAGTAAAGCCAGTTGGATGCTCTTCCTGCCTGACCATTTCCCTACTTACTTTGTTCAGTGTCACCTTTAGAGTCCGAATCACATATTCAGTTTTCTTTTCCTCCAATTCCTGCAGAAGCAATACATTAGTCACTTTCTGCAGATACATGGCACTGGTTTCCATAAAGGTTGCCACAGATTGTGGAACACTTGTTAGGCAGGATGGAAAAGGCTGATGTACTTACACAAGTGATGGTGAAAGGACCACACTGGAGTGGTGAATCGCCCACCTCAACCCAGTACCGCTCACACTTTTTCTGTTGTAAAAAGCAGGAAGATTCTGTGATTATTTGTCTTTACACCTGCCTGCCATGTCTCCTGCCTTGTCTTCCCCAATGGACAGTTATTTGTTTCGAAATGCTTGGCTTTGTTGCTGAGCTGACTCTTGTCTCCCTCTTCCTTGGGGCTCCCAATACACGGTTTCTCCAGAGAGACAGCACCATTTTCTGATGATCCAAGCACCTGCTTGGCTGCTGGAGTGAGCCAACAGCATCACAGTGTGTAGTCTACTGAGACCTTTCTCTCTTGTAGAGGCTAATCTCATTCTCAGAACCAGTTTGGCGATGATTGAACAAAATTGTGTGCATTTGGGAGTCTCCAGATATGAACTATTCACTGATTTCTAAATATGAACTAATTCTTTGTGAAACCCAATGGAAATGCACATTCTTTCTCCCCCTGGTGACACCAAGACACTAGCTTCATGCTCCGACACATTACTCACCTTCCCCATTTCAAACTCCATGCAAGCCATAACCACAATCTGTAAAAATAAAGTACATAAAACCTGAATGTCTCTTAATCAGGGGAGAAAGGCAGATTTTAGATAGGATAGTTAAGTAGCATTCAGGGATATTTATCAGTTGTGAGAAAAATTATTTTGGGCCACATATGGGCCTCTTACTCTGATGCTTCTCAGCTAGGCAAAATTTGGGCACCGTTCACAGCATGGGTGCCAGAGACCTTTCAGCTCCAAAGCTCTCCCCTGGAAGACTGTCATGAGACAATACTCATCCATCATGCTATTTTTGATAAAGACCCTCATGAAAAATGCAGTGAGCATGGTGTACAACTCGTGATCCTGGCACACTAACAGCACATACTCATTATCCAACCAGTAACACAAATACACATGGACTTTATTGCAAAGCTGTAAAAATACGTAACAGAAAGCACCGATCTGCATCTTACCAGGACTTCATATTCCCAAATCATCCTCCAGAAGTCAAGAACAGTGGTGGAGAGAGGACCCTGGGTAGCTATATACGCCCTCGGCCCATATACTCCCTAAAATGAAATTCAGATTGCATATGAATATAATATTTGTATGGGCACTAAGCACCCGAAGAGACAGAACCAGCACTAATTTAGAACTGTACTGCATTTACATGAAAAGACTAAAGTGCTTTAACGACTAGGACAACTGTAGTTCCTTCAGCTTTTTGTCTGGCTCTCTGAAAAGCTTTGTGTTTTTGCTCCTGCAGTGTCACTAGTTGGACTGACAGTCCAGTCAACAGCTGACTAGCAGAATCTACCCTTCTCTACTGATAGTGAGAGATGGGTTTGGAACAACCCCCGCCTCTCACTTCCAAACAGCATCAATTTTTTTCTATTTTAGGGGGGAGCTTGCTGACAAATGTTCAAAATACTGATCTGGTCTATGTTTTGCAGTAGAGCATATCCCTACTTGTTAATATCCTGGTCTGGCATCCTTTATAATGGTCTTTGCCCTGTACAACGTGGTTAGGCAACATTCCTTGGCACAGATGGAGGGAAACGTCTCTGCTTCAACCACAGCAAGGGGAGAGGCATTTACAAACCGAACAAAGCTGTAGGGGTGGAGGAATGAGGTACTGACTTGCCCCCGTCTCTTGCTGGCCACAGATGCCTCGAGTTCTACTGATGTAACTGGTCTCAGCACTGATGTGGGCGCAGAGCTTCCTGTCTGAGCAGTGGCGTCAGAGGCCTTTGCTAGTGGCAGGCAGTGTAGAGTCATTCCACTCGCCATTGAACACATACACACAAAGGAATATAAAGCTGATGGGGACACAGGGCTCTGAGCTTGGCGCTGTAGTCTGAAAACTGCTCCCCTCCCCAAGATCATGCACTTCTCATATACGAAAGCCTGGCTTCCTGGACATTTTAAGGGGTGTTGGCATGGAGGGTTCTCAAAGGTCTCCTTAATTTCCCCCCGATTTCATTATCACCCCCACCATGGTGAGCCACCCCATAGCCAATGAGGACAGGACGGAGCTCCCTTCAGACTCTGGTACAACTCTAGATATATGTACTTATTCTATATCAGCCTGCCACTGTCTGCTCATTCCATGCAGCACTGCCATGGGAGCTGCCTTTTCACAGCTCAGTGTGATGCACTTGAAAGTATGTACTACAAACCAGGCAATACCTTGATGAAGTTGGCATTTATGTAATGAGAATCTTTATCTGATGTGATGAGGGAGAGCTCCACTCTGCTGTGATCAACTGGAGAGAGAAAGGAGTAATTATTGTTTTTATTGTATCACATTAGAGCCTAGAGGGTCCAAATTCTGTAGATTTTAAGGCCAAAAGGGACCATTACGATCATCTAGTCTGACCTTCTGCCCAGCATAGGTAATAGAATTTCTTATTGTGATTCCTGCATCAAGCCCATATCTTATAATTGAGCTAGAGCACATTTAAATCAAGGCCCATTGTAGTAGATGTTGTACAAGTACGTAGTATAACAGTCTCTGCCCTGAAGAACTTACATGGAATTAATGTGCCCCAAAGACATCTCTGTCTAAGCCTTGCTTTATGTGGTTTCTCTGAAGTTGGACAGCATGCACATTATACAGCAGACTTTCATGTAACAACTTACCTAATAAATAAGAAAAAATATTTTCCCCTACTGAATAACCTACAAATCCCCACAACTATGTATATACATTAAAATATTAAAAAGTGACATCTTAAATATTAATCATGGCATTCAAAGCATATTAAGAGTTGCTCTGTGGAGGGTCACATGGAGATATGCACAGGTATGTCTATCTGATGAGCATAGGAGAGCATATGCCTATGTATGTATGTCCTGATGTGTGCTGCATAGCCTACTTTGGTGTATGCATGCCTATACATGCTAGGCTTACATACTGATGTCTATATCCACGTATATACTGGGCAGGGGAGGAGGGAGAAGCTAGTATGACAATAACTGGTAAGAAAGAAAGGCTAACTTGCAAATTTGTTATTTTCAACCTACAGGGCAAGATGTCCTTGTATCGATTTTTCTTGATGTTTTCTGGTTGCTCAGACGCTGCAGTTGGGTATATTCTGTCTGATCTGTATTTTGTTGATTGCCTTTTCAGCTTCTGTGGTAAAACAATGGAAAGATTAAAGCGAATGTGTTACAGACAGCACGGTGTTAGAGAGCATGTCTGATGGTCCCTAGGGGGCCAGACTCACCACCACAAAGCAAGGTCTGCACTATTCATTCTTTCCTGATTGGCCTCTCTCGAGGCACTCAGCACGAACAGACAACAGTAGCCACTCGAGAACCATTTTGCAGCCAGGAGTTCTGAAGACCAGAAAGTCTGCATGCTGAGCTGGGGACACTAGAGGCTCTGACACAGGCTTTTGAAGTGCCTCTTTAGAAAGTTATACATTTATATGGAACACAAAACTTCTGCCGTACAAACTTATCATTTTCAGCATAGATGCCAAGCAGACAACAGGCAATAGTGACATTAAGCTATCTCCAACAAATGATAAGCAATTCACTTTTCTCACGCTGTAGCTAAGAACTGAAGCATCTTTGTCAAATAATCTCTGGTTTGTGGTACTGCCTGAGTTAGACTGAGCTGTGCAACAAGAGGAACCGAAGAAAAGCAATTGCAGGTACTGCTGAACGGGATTCTAAAAAAGACAACACATGGCTCCAAGACACCTCTAATCAGTCTCTCTTTGGTAGCGTAAGGCTGCTGCATTGTGGATTGTTTTCCCTGCTGCCAGGGAGGTATATGGAGTCTTGCTGGTGCAGTCTGAAAGGATTTGTGATTTCACTGGGCTGATCCATTAGAAACACACCCTTTGCTTCACTACACACTGGCCTTTAAAAGTACTAAACATTTTATTATCACTGCCCCCATTTATTAATGGTAACATCTAGCCCACTGTGCTCGGTGGTATGACAGGCAAGGAATTAATGCTGCTGAATCTCAAACCAGACAATGAGGGATGGTCCCAACACCTCTGTGCTTTGAAATCCTGGAGTCTAGTGCGCACCTTCGTATTGCTCCTGGAGTTGTGTTATTGTGCAGATCTTTTGTTGCTGTGGAATGATTCTGGGAAATGAAGGCCTGCTCCATGGCCTTAGTTCTGGCATTTCTGCCCCAGGCAGACCCTAGAGTCTAGTCTCTGGGGAGACTAGTGCAGGGATGCCTGCCAGAGGATTTGAGTGAGGAGCCTCCGTCCTGTCTGACAGAGCTGATGCTTTCTCATGCCCTTATAGCCCATTTCATGGCAGCTCTGTGGTTACCTCTGGGATTTGGAGATGAAAAAAAGCAAATAAAAAGCTTTGGGCTAAAAGTACGAGGTCACTCAGGCTAATGTTCCCCTTTAGAAGGAACATGTCAGAAAGGTCCTGCTCCAGTTCCTGGGGCACACTGGATGGGCCAAGGGGAAGCTGCACAGCTTTGCTTTGCATCTAATATGCATTGAATTACCAGCTGAGGCTGCTTTCCGACAGGATGTGGAAAGGGTGGCTAAACCAATCAGGCATTAGGGGAAAAACAAAACACATTGGTCTCATGACACTTGGACAAAAATAGCTCTGTGGTCTGGCGGGGGAGCACTGAGAAGCTGGCATCCCCAGGAGAAAGATGCACTTGGACGGTAGTTTTCTCCTAAAAACTAATAGGTTCAACTCATAGGTTTATAGGAGCAGAACTCCGCATTTGCCCTCCAGTTGAGGGATCACCCAGCAGTTTGCCAGAAACTCATGAGAGGCAACTAATTTGCATCAATCAACTGGATAGCAACACACTTCCTGTTTAATAAAGGACTACAGTCCCAGCCGGCAAGGCTTCCACGATCCCACTTTCTCTCCTGTGTGTTGTGCAAGGGAGAAGGTCAAGGTCAGAGCTAGCATCAGCTTACAATTCTGTTACATTTTCAAAGTAAATGTAGTCCTTGCACACACACCACTGCGAGTTCGGAGGAATTTAGCACACATTTAGGGATTGCATTAATAAAAGGAAACACTGCATTTGGAACAGTGTGAAAGGTATAGAACAGTGGCTCTCAAACTTTTTTACTGGTGACCCCTTTCACATAGCAAGTCTCTGAGTGTGATTCCCCCCTTATAAATTAAAAACACTTTTTATATATTTAACACCATTATAAATGCTGGAGGCAAAGGGAGTTTGGGGTGGAGGTTGACAGCTCGCGACCGCCCATGTAATAACCTCACGACCCCCTGAGGGGTCCCGATCCCCAGTTTGAGAACTCCTGGTATAGAATAAGAGACTAGAGAAAGTGTTATTTACCCTTTCATACAATACAAAACGAGGAATCACACAATTAAATTTAAAAAAAGGGAAGTACTTTTCCACACAACGTACAACTAACCTGTGAAACTCATTGCCATGGAAAGTTGTGGTGGCCAAAAGTAGAATTGGGTAAAAAAAATAACTAGATAAGTTCATGGAGGATAAGTCCATCAATGTGTATTAGCCAAGATGGTCGGACACAATCCCATGCTTGGGGAGACCCTAAACCTCTGACTGCTAGAAGCCAGGAATGGAAGATGAGTGGATGACTCCATACCTGCCCTATTCTGTACACTCCCTCTGACGCTCTGGTAAGGGCGACTGTTGGAACCAGCACACTGGCAAGATGGCCCATGGTCTGACCCAGTATGACAGCTCTACTATAAGCCCCGTTTATCTTTTAATCAATGTGGACAGAATTAGTCATGGTACAAATAATTACTCAGAACTATATTTCAAACAGCTACTATTTCATTATTAACTCTTTCCCCATCCCCCAAATAAAAAAAGTTAGTCTATGTGCCTGTTAGCAGCAGGAGGAGTCCCAGCCAGACATCCCAGGAGGCTGAAGTTCCCCGCTTACATGCAGGGGTCAGGGTAGATGCTGTGCAGACACCATGCTGTGCAAACATGGCACCAGCCTGCCTTAGGCCTGACGTGGAGGAACAACCAGCCTCTGTGGCACTTCTGCTGAGACTGCCAAGGAAGAGGCCAGTCATGGTGGTCATTTCAGTAACACAGACACATGCCCACTAGGAAGCAGACTTAAACCCCAACTCATTTCATGGCACTGAGCAGCCATCAGATGGTAAGAGCTTTCCATCACTACTAAACTGAGTTGGATTTGAAATCAGACTTGAAGGTGAAAGCTTCTGTATCTCGTGACCAATCTCCTGAGCCAACGAGTCAGCAACACTCACTCTCAATTGTTTTCCTCAAGCTGTGAAGCCAACTGATTGCACAGGAACCAAACTTGTATTGTTACACTGTGGGGCAAGCCTCTGTGTGCAGCAAGCATGTTGCTTTGTATTCTGTAAGACCCTTTAAGACCTGTAGCCTATTCCCTAAGCCATCCAGCATCTCTCGCAAAACAGATTAAAAGGACATGCTGTATGGTGGCTGCAGACAGGCCCTGACAAGAGAATAATTCTGTTAATGGAAATTCAGAAGTTTTTAGACTAAATTAACTTTAGAGTCAACATTAACTTTAAAACATCTGATGAGTTAAGGAAACAGCTGTCACTTGTCATGTTGTTCTACAGTCAGAGGGAGACAGGAGCATTGTCATTTATTTGGGTAGAATGAGTCAGTAACAGAGCTGCAGAAGTCACAGGACTCTTATGTATCAGCCCCACATTAACAGGAACATAGGGGGAAGCCCAAGTGCAGGGGAACAGCAGGATGTTCTCCCTGGATTTCAGATCTGTAACTCCCTCAAACCTGCTGCAGATTGCACCCAAGGCTGGACTTTGTGGGTTGTACCCCCTTTAGTGCTGTCCCCCACTTCCAGATAATTTTTTTAATGAAGGGGACTAGAGCCACTTGGCATTGAGGGACCAATACTTTAAGACACAACTCCAAGCCAGGTTAGTTTCTGCATCTTCTGTCACCACAGAGCTTGACATATGGCAACTTGGCAGACTGATACCTGTGACATTGCAAATGCAAATAGCAAGGGTTAACCTTATAAATGTGAGGCTGCCCAAATGGAACATCTGGGCACAAATCAAGTACTGCCATTGGCACCAGCAATTACACAATTTGCATGTGCAAGCACCTGTTTGTACGCAGTGGGTGTTTGCAGGGATAATGGACCCAGGCTTATTTTTGTGGCTCATGCATGGCAAGCAGATTTGAAAGTTTGGCCTTTACCAGTTTTCTTCTAAGGATCTTAATACACAGAACAGCTGTCTGAACCATCCTGGGCTTTGGGAAGGCCTTTCCCAGCACCAGAGAAAACACTTTTCTACTTACTACTTTTGAAAGATTGCAGGCAGTGCACAAGCTACACACCCACTTTCCCCAGAGACCAGCACATTCATCCTGGCCTGATGCCCCCGACACTTCAGCCTCCCTCACACAATAAAGCACGAGCTTTAGAGACTGGGTGGGGAAAGTCAGCCACCGGTGACATTGCTTTTTTCCATGGAACAATTGGACTGTTACTGCAAGGTACTCAGCACTCAGATTAATCACTGCTCTCTGACAGAGGTATCTGAGAACCGGAGATCATCAATGAGCAACTGACATTTTCCTAAGTCTTTGAAGTGACTCCTCTCTAGGAAGACATAGTGGGGGCTGGCTCATGTGGGGGCTACCTGAGCAGACTGGATTCTCACCAGCAGCCTTGGCCATGCACAACCCCCTTCCCTTCCCCTGGGAGGATGGAAGGGGACTCAGGTCACTAGTTATACAAGTGCCTCTGGGATGCTGAAGGCTTGTGGCTGCAACAGCATCACCATCCTTCTGAGGTTTCTAAGTCTTGCTGAGCAATAACAGGGGGGACTCTTTGTCCTAAAGCACCAGGGACTAACCCAAACTGTGGGGTTAGTATGGAGCCTACCATGGAGGCCAATCTCCAGCTAGTATGTCCAAAAGCAACTAACTAGGTAAATCCCCAAATACAATTCCTGCAAATTCCTAGGACTGGGTCGTTGTTAAACACGAGATTCTGGATTTATGTGACAATCCCTCCACACCGATGAGCCCACACCCAGCTGATGAAGACTGGGGCCTTGAAAATAGGCGCATTAAACAGAACTATTAAATTATGATTTGTGTGGCGAAAGTAAATAAGGAAGTGTTATTTACTTCTTCTCATAACACAAGAACTAGGGGTCACCAAATGAAATTAAGAGGCAGCAGGTTTAAAACAAAAGGATGGATTTCTTCACACAATGCACAGTCAACCCTGTGGAACTCTTTGCCAGAGGATGTTGTGAAGGCCAAGACTATAACAGGGTTCAAAGAAGAGCTAGATATATTCATGGAGGATAGGTCTATCAATGGCTATTAGCCAGGATGGGCTGGGATACAAAACCATGCTCTGAAGTGTCCCTAGCCTCTGTTTGCCAAAAATTGGGAGTAGACAACGCGATGGATCACTTGATGATTACCTGTTCTGTTAATTCCTTCTGAAGCACCTGGCTTTGGCCACTGTAAGAAGACAGGATCCTCGGCTAGATGGACCATTGATCTGACCCAATATGGCCATTCTTATGTAACTCTGCAAGGAAGCCTTGAGCCCAGCCCTCTGGCCAAATGTATCCCAGAGGGTCCTAAAATGTAGATTAGGACAAAGATGGTCTATAGCAGCTTTTGCTGCTGGTGACCTGAAGCAACAGGAAACTTCTATTCAAGGGGGGAGAGAGAAATGCCACTAATATTACTTGCCATGTTATTCTAGCCATGTTGGTTCCAGGACACAAGAGACAAGGTGAGTGAGGCAATACCTTTTATTGAACCAACTTCTGTTGGTGAAAGAGACAAGCTTTTGAGCTCTACGGAGCTGAAGGAGAGTTCTGTGAAGCTCAGAAGCTTGTTTCGGTTACCAACAGAAGTTGGTCCAATAAAAAATTAACAAATATTACAGCATATGCATTTATGTTGGATAAAATGCACATTTCCATGCAAACTGGTATAGCCCGAGACCTCAGAAGTTGCCAGTATGGACCTTAGTGACGCAGAGACTGGACATCCTTCTTTAACGCCTCCAGTTTATGACTTTTTTCCTCTTTCCTGCTCTAACCATGGTCCCAAATGCTAATATGAAATAGTGACTGGACCAGTCCCTATAGGAATTTGTCAGGGAATTTCTCTGCAATCAGATCCCTAGTCTGGATTTTCTTTGACATCGCAAGATGGGTTACTGGAGTGAACCATATCGAGTGGTCATCTGAGGGACCCAGTAGGTATTTCAGTTCTGACCCACTTCAGTTCACACTTTTCTCTGAGATACATGGCTGAAGGGAAAAGGCTTTTTCAAATATTTAGAGACATGGCCCCCACTGGTGGTATTAGGAGTGAAGCAACTAATCCCCCTGCAGCAAAAATGAAACTACATTCCTACAAGTGCGTTTGCAAATTAGGAAACAGGAAGCATCGAATCAGGTAATTGTTAAACACATTCACTTAGAATGGAAACTATTAAACTGCTCTTTTAACACTATTCCTAGATCCATTTTTGTTCTAGAATTAGTAGAAAAACAAAGTGTTACATGTAATCATTACATCCCAGTTCAGAATTTGCTTCAACAATTGAGAACTTCCCCATAAAATTAGGTTAGACTCAGAAATGTGCCTGTAGGTGACTTACCAAAAATTCGTTTGCAAACTCCTCTCTGTTAAATTTTCTGCTTTGGGCCCTGTCCAGGTTTTGCAGTAGAATCTCTCTTTGGTCCATGTTGCGTGACAGGGAGAGACTGGTCCGGCCAAGCAGAGGATGGACATGTCAAGTGCATGTCATAACGGAAAGCACCAGCATGGAGAGCGCCTGCTGAAGGCTGTGGTTTACTGACTTCATTGCAAGTCTTAAAGGAAATTAGTGCGTAACAGCCCGTGTGGTCAAAAACAAAAAAACAAGATTCTTAACTCAGGGCCCTAGTGCCTCCTTTTCGGAGTGTGAACTACTGCGCTCATTTCTTTATGGAAAGAGGAAGCTGGGTGGTCTCACTAAGATTATCTATGCAGTTTTCTTCAATATCAGACTTCATCATATCCCTTTCTGAAATCAACTCCACTCTGATCAAAGAGCCATATAATGCAGATGGAAAAAAGGGAAACTGCATCAGCTGTGCAAACCAGGGCAGCATTGGCCACATTCACCAGCATTATCTGTAGTTCTGTCTCACCGGAAATGTCCCTATGCTGATAAACAGCCATCTGAGCGGAAGACTTGACAACCCTCTCTCCAGGAGTGTAGGTTCTGAAACACAATAATCACACCTCAGGTCCAGACTCCTCCAGCAAATCCTGAAATGCTCAGCGGTCACTGCATTTTCAAATGACCTGGGATGAACTCTGGAAAGCCACATCAAGATCAAGGATTTACATTAGAATGTAGAAGTTCCACAACTGTCCACAGAGGCCACTCACTATGAGACTGCGCAGGTCCTGGAATGTAGGCTTTTAAGTGACAGTCCTCAGAGCTTCCATCCCAGAAAATGGATCTTTAGTCCACCTTTCCATTAGGGCTAGTCTGGCCGAAAACAGAAGCCTAACATCTCTCCTCCTGTATTTGTAGCAAACTACTTATGGTTGGAAAGCCAGTAACTCCTGTTCCTCTTTGCAGTAGGAGAATGCTGCCCCCAGCAGTTTCTTGGCTGGGACGTGTAAATTTGGGGCCCGATAAATGCTGTATCACACATGTGCAACTGATCTGATTAGAACATGGAGCAGCAGAGCCGGTTTCTTCAAAGCTGGCTTCTTGGGCTGATCGGGGCTCTTTGGCACAAGAAAACATTTGGCAGCATGATACCTTTGATTAGAGAGAGAGGCCCAAACCACACACTCAGTCTGGATTTCCAACATCCAGGGTTCACCAATGCTCAAGAGCTCCTCAGGCCCCAGCTCTAATTCAAATGCCAGAGCAAACAAACAAACCAACTAAATATTGATATGGCTCTCATCACTGTGTATCAGAACTCTGCTGCACCCTTTACAGAGCTGCTGGAGTTCAGAGTAGCTATATGCAGTTACTCGTGTTTCCAAAGAGTAAATCTGAGGCATTTGAATAGGATAATGTTTTACCCTTCTCTAGCAGCTTTCAGTTGAGGCTCTCAAAGCACTTTACAGACATGAATTAAGCCTCCCAGCTCCCTCCCAGAGCAGGTTTAATGTGAAGGATCCTGAATTTCTAAGGGGTTCATCAGAGATTATTTAGTATGTGTCATCTTTGCTTAATTCTGTTGGTAATTAAAGAGCTTTGCAGCAGTTGGTTTAGTGAGGTATTTGTGGATGAGAGCACTGTAAGTGACTACAGAGAGGTTGATAACTCAGCCATAAGTAAATGCTCAGGATTCAATCCTGGACACAGAGTATTAGTCCAGGACTGTTTATTCCAATGAAGTGTTTTAATATTGCTTCAGATAAATCTGTATAAGCAAATCTCCAAACCTTTGAAAAAAAATTGTTTAAACAAGATGAAAGAAGTCTGTGGGTCAAGTGAATGACTCCCCCGATACCTGAGTAAAACTCAGCAGTGACTTGTCATTGGCATGTCTTGGCTACACTTTTTGTCCATAACTTCATTTTTTTTTTAAAACACTCAAAAGACGGAAGTCTGTGTTTTGGTGGGCCATGGAGATAGCTTACTGTTTTATCCCTTCTGTAAGCCTGGATTCAGATACTGTAGAGTGGGATCAAGTGGCAGAGAGGTTAGATAGAGTGAGGCCACCGAGGTCAACCCAGAATTGGATTAAAAATACTGGAAACATTACTTCAAACCCTATCATATTTCACCAATCCAAGAATCCAGCATTCTTGGTGAAAAATACCTGCCAAAATCAGTTCACAGAGCCCTTAGATTCTGCTCTCTCCAGTGGAAGGACACACTGACAATCAGATTGGATATTTCAGTGAAAACAAAGGGCTGGTCCACACTAACCCCCCCACTTCGAACTAAGATACGCAACTTCAGCTACGTGAATAACGTAGCTGAAGTCGAAGTATCTTAGTTCGAACTTACCGCGGGTCCACACGGGGCAGGCAGGCTCCCCCGTCGACTCCGTGTACTCCTCTCACAGAGCAGGAGTACCGGCGTCAATGGCGAGCACTTCCGGGATCAATCCGGGATCGATTTATCGCGTCTAGCCAAGACGCGATAAGAAGATCGCTTGCTTACCGCCGGACCCGGAGGTAAGTATAGACCTACCCAAAGGCACAGCAAAAATAGCAGCTGTAATAGCAAGGTGGCCTTTTAACAAAAGAATGTGAGTAGTCTAGAGAAGGGGCGATGATGGGTTCTGCACCCGGTCGATAGCAGTGTCCGGGCTACTTCAGTACACAGTGATACCAGGTTGAGAAGCAGCATCTTTGAAAGACATTTGCTGTTATCTTTGTAACAGAAAATTTACTGTGAGGACCAGGAAAAGCTTCGTAGCAATGAGGTCTATAAGACTGTGGAAGATTCTCCCAAGGGAAGTAATGGACTGCCTCCTTATGCGACATGTAAATTTGGACCTAATACAAGATACTGTAGGAACAACCCTGCATTGGCCTTTAGGGATGGATTGGATGTGATTTAACAAGGCTAACAGCAGTTTAACTGACCCAAATTCCGTGAACCGTTGGTATTGTTCCAGAAGCGGTCAGCTAATTTTCTGGAGTTAGGCTTTCTCAAAGCCACATCAGAAGGCATGACTTACTAGTAACGCAGCAGTCTCTTGTAAATGGGCGGCAACAAGAACAGTGAACTCACAAAGAGTTGCATTTAGGAGCTGGACATTTCCTGTACAGACTAATTTGCAACTGGTCTCCACTCAAGATGAGAACGTGCTTTGTACTTTGGGTTTCTTTATGTACAGGTAAGAAAAATACTTCAACATAGCTAATTTCTAAAATGTGTTTTGAGAACCATGGCTCACAGGTGTGTGTATATGTTTATTTTCAGTGTTCAATCATCACACATCTCATACAAACACCTGGGCAGACTCAAGACTTTTCTGCTCTGGGTTGTTTTGCACTGAGGTAGCTTCATTGGTGCTAACACATGCCACACCAGTGCAAAAAGAGACTGTTTCAAATTGGGGTAAATTTCCCTGGTCCCAGTCACTTTTTACACGCGTGCAGGTAAATGGCTTGAAATGGGGCATATACATTCATTTCTTGCTTTATAGGTTTGCAATATGATGTGAAATTTCACATGGGTTAAGTTTTAGGCCCTTTGAATTTTCTTTGTAGTTCATGTTTGGTTGCTTTTCATACATTTTTAATAGCATGTTTCTGAAATTTGTCTATGACAGTCTCATTTTTCAGAGTAGCAGCCGTGTTAGTCTGTATCCGCAAAAAGAACAGGAGTACTTGTGGCACCTTAGAGACTAACAAATTTATTCCACGAAAGCTTATGCTCTAATAAATTTGTTAGTCTCTAAGGTGCCACAAGTCTCATTTTTGTCAGTGGTGGGGAGGGATAGCTCAGTGGTTGGAGCATTGGCATCCTAAACCCAGAGTTGTGAGTTCAGTCCTTGAGGGGGCCATTTAGGGAACTGGGGTAAAAATCTGTCTGGGGATTGGTCCTGCTTTGAGCAGGGGATTGGACTAGATTACCTCCTGAGGTCCCTTCCAACCCTGATATTCTATGAATGTGCATTTTAATAGCATTGTGAATCTACACAAACCTTGGCAGAAAGATGAATCTTGAATAGTACATGGGGGTAGTTTTATTCAAAGAAATGTTTAGGATTAGGAGTAATTTTTTTCCTCTATTCATCAGCACTTAAAACCTGTATGTAAATTAGCATGTAAAACTGTCCCAATGAGGTACTTGCAAAACCACGTATGTGAAACCATGTATTTATTCCTGAGATGGGTGGAGAGTAGTGCGTGGTGATTATGAGGGCTATTAACTGGTGAGATGGATTTGAAAGGGGAACCTCAACATTTATGTAACAGATAGCTGATAGATAACATGTGCTTTGTTGCAGATCCTCAACAGTTCTTAAGTTCTTATGACTTAAACAGCAAAGATGAACAGTAACCCTGTCAATTTCCTGTAATTTGACCATTTCCTATGTGAACAAGTTGTTGTCAGACGCTACCAGTGTAGTGCTCTGCTCAATCCAATGTTGATATCAGTCGGCTGCGTGCGTGTGTTCCCTCTGTGTGCTGCCCCGGCTCTGCAGATAGCTGGCACAGCAGACCCCCGAGCGAACCCCCAATGATCACAGACTTCGATAAGGTACGAAGGCACCCAGCCAGGTTTATTGCCAAACAAAACACAGTCTCTAGCTCCCCGGATCAGATATCTACAGTTCTGCTAGTACATATGTGCTCCCTGACAATGGACCAGCTCAGTCAGTGGCAGGACTTTCCACTGCCCCCTAGGCCAGACAAAGACAGCGCCCCAGGGATGCATTCTTATACACAGGTACAAACAAGTTACACATCATTCCTGACGTAGCGAGGCACAACCCCTCTACACAGTAAGGTGCTGCCTCTCACCTTGTACATGTTGGTTTGAACAAAACAACTCTATCATATTACCCTTTTGGCCCTGTCTTTAGGATGGGTCAGCCTGTTCCTTGTTATCTGTGTGGAATGTGCAAGTATCCAAGTGTTCGGATATCTAGCGTCCAGTACCTTTTAGGTATGTATCTTTTTGCAGCATCAGCCCTTTTCTTGCCAGCTTCTGTCAGCAGGGCCTGCCTCTGGCTCACAATTTAACTTTGCTTTATGTTAGCAAAGTCTTGACCATTACTTTAGCTCAGGCCTAAGGCCTCATACCGTGCCTCTGATAAGGGTTTATGGTTCAGGGCCTCATCTTACTACACAAGCGTCAACGTGAGAACTTGTCATCTTAGCACTCTGGCATCTTTATTCACAAGAACAAAATAAGTTACCTTACAAAATATATTTTAAATTAAATACAAAAAAGCTACATCAAAAACTATGTCCAAGATCCAAAGAAAAGCACTAAGGAAATGCCAAGGATAGGGTTGTCTATGCAACATTGACTCTCCCCATCCATACCTACTATTTCTCCCACAGGTCCCCTGCCTCATTCAGCACACAGGTTGGATGAAGCTCAATGAATGAGGCAGCACACATTGGTGGGGGGAAGGCGAGGAGGAGGGTTCTTCTACTGAGCCACCCTGTTAGGTGGAGTTAGATACTTACCTAAAGCTGCCAATTACTGCTGATTTGTTATTGCAGCTGTCATTTCTCAACTTCACCTCAAACATTCAGGAGACAAGTCTGACTCTTCTGTATGACTCCTAACAGCAGCCATGGCTGGGGAGAAATCTGGGTTATTTACTTTGTTAATAAAACCAACCCACAGGGAGAAAAGTGTGTCTGCACGTCATACAGCGTGTTTACTCTATTCAGAGCTGCATTCAAATGCTATCTGCTCCCACAGTTGTAAATATTCTATAGGAGTTCCCCTCTACATAGCTTTTATGGAAGAGTCCTACAGAATGAGATCATTGTGCTATATATTTATTTTAAACAAAAAACACTTTATAGATTTGTATACACAGATTTAATTCGCTGTTAAATCCTATAGGATGAACAGAGAATTATATCTCTGCTATAGAACTCTGAAAATTGACCTCATTCCATTGGTCTTTTCCACAACAGGCAGCTGAGGGGTGGAATTTAGGTCCACTCGCGTCAAAGGGAGATGCACACGTATGAGTGAGGACAAAGTCTGACCCAACGTTTTGTAAAGTATAACCAGAAGCAAGAGAGAACGAGAGAGAGAGAGCGCGCACATGCCTGAAATGGAACAAGCTCACTTTCTGAAACTGTGTGGAGACTGTTTTCCTCACAACCAGTTTCTCTTGCAGTTTGGTGTGCACCAGCCCTCTCGTCAGATGGGGAAAAGACAGCTATGGAGGGAACGAGCACTACCATAACCTGCTCCTACGACAGAGGGAGATACAAGTTTAGCAGAAAGTACTGGTGCCATGGAAGATCCAGGTCATCTTGTGATATTTTAGGCGATACAGATAATTTTGTTAAGAGTGAATATAACGGAAGATTGTTGCTCTTGGATAACAAAAGAGGAGACTTTTTGGTCACGATGCACCAGCTGGTAGAAGAAGATTCAGGAATGTATTGGTGTGGAATACAAAAGCCATATGCAGATATAATGACTGCAGTGAAACTCACTGTAACTGAAGGTAAATATTTGTTAAACATTGTAATGTCTCATGAGATTCATTAGTTTTATAACTTGACTAGTGAGACAAGGTGGGTGAGGTAATATCTTTTATTGGACCAACTTCTGTTGGTGAGACAAGCTTTCACACCACATAGCTCTTCAGGCCTGAAGAGGAGCTCTGTGTGACTTGAAAGCTTGTCTCTCCAGAGCAGAAGTTGGTCCAATAAAAGATATTACTTCACTCACCTTGTCTCGCTAATCCCCATTTTATTCAGTTTTAGATAAATACGTATGCCAAAACTGGCACGTATTTGTCCAGAGATTAATCTCAGTCTGGTGTGGTGACGAAAGTGCTTTAAACCCAGAGATGGGGCACACGGAGGCTTTTGTACTGTGAACTCACTGATCAAGGATCCAGAGTAGCAGCCGTGTTAGTCTGTATCCGCAAAAAGAAGAACAGGAGGACTTGTGGCACCTTAGAGACTAACAAATTTATTAGAGCATAAGCTTTCGTGGACTACAGCCAATAGTATGTAAATGCCTCTGCCTTCCCCACTCTTTGTAAACTCAGCAGTGAAACCATGCAGCCTCTTGAGACTAATCCTTGGAAAGAGCCTAGAACTAGACAATGATATCTACAGCCACGTCTGATTGGGTAATCCAAACAATGCTTCACACCCTTCTGTGTATTGCATCTCACCAGGACAACTATTTGGTTCCATTTCAGAGCCTCTCTCCACACCTCTTATTACTCTCACCAGCCATCCCAGTGAATCCTGCCTAGGGAGATCAGTGACTGTCAGATGTCATTCAGCCACTGGCTCTAATGTTTACTACACATGGTACAGAAAGAGCTTTCCGACCAATATCATATCAGTGCACAGCAGCGACCTGGTGCTTCGCTGTGGAGACCTCCTGGAGAGTCAGAGCTATTACTGCCTAGCTGCAACTCGCAGAGCAAACAAATCCACCCAGGTGTTCAGAGCAGAGGTGCTGATCCCAGCAAAAGAGAACTGCACGTACCGGTTACAATTAACAGGTAATGTTTTTATTTCAGTGTTAGCTTCATGGACTGATTAATAAATAACAGGCAAAAAAATTTGTAAAATACATGTTAAACTCCTCCCACACTAAGTTATGCTATCTAAATATGGACCCCTCCCTAAAGCAGAAAGGAATCAAGCTACAAATACAGCAGTATTGTCTCCATTCTTATATTGCCTATTGTACTCGTCCTTAGACGCCTAGTACACGTGCAAACAATACCAGCACATCTGTGGCATGGGAAACCGAATGTCAGACATTTTGCTCCCACAAATACCACATCTTTGTCCCTTGAGTTAAAGGAGAATGCTCCTTAGCTGTAACAGACAGGAAGGTTTAATTTTCCTACGTGAATAGAGAACTGTTCAATGTAACGTACATTATCTTCTTTGCTCCTCTTGTAGTGTAGGGGAGAGTATGAAATGTCGAATGCCAAGTGGATATGCATTGGATTCTATACAAGCAATTGTATATTTTTATTACAGATGGTGAATCATACAACTGTATAAGAACAACCCCAGTGTTTACAGTTGAGATGCCTTCAACACCCTTCACAGGCTATTCAACACCTTGCTCCAACTCCTCTAGCCATCCTGGCACAGAAGAGTAGGTACCAGCCATCACAACTATGTGCTCCTACTGATTAGATAGGGTTTCTCTCAGAAATCCTAGTGGAAAAATTTCGGTCTAAAGACATTTAAAACTGTAGCTAATGTGGTGGGAATATTTGTGCCTAGGTACCATGGCGATTGGCACACTGGGAATATTGGAAAGAGACACGATAGAAAGAAAATCAGAACAGAAGAGATTTAATAGGGAATGAAATTGCCAACTTGATCCAAATGTCAGAGCACTGCGCCAAAGTGTTACAGATGACAAGAGCTTGACAAGACTTAAAAAAGGATCAAGCACTTATAAGGACAATGAGAACTTTCAGTTACAGAAGGAAGGACTATAATGAATTATAAAGAGGATCATGCTTCAGGGTACAGGCTGATCACTGAACTGCCCAGGGTTAAAGAAAGACTTCTAGGTGGGCAGAATATTCCATAATTGTCTCACTGGGTTTCCTGAACTTTCCTCTAAGACATCTGGCACTTGCCTCGGCTGGTGCCAGGATACCTCACTAGATGGACCATTGTTTTGATCCACTATGGAAATCCCCATGTTTCTATTTAGAAATAAGGGCAATGAATGGGACAACAGAATTCAGCACCATTGTTTGAAAAACAAATGGTAACAATGTGACTTTTGCTCCTAAATTCTGTGGGCATTTTTGAAAAAAAATCTCCCCCAGTCGAACTTGTGCTTGTTGTATTAAATGTTTGTTAAAAGGATCTTTTACCTGCAGATCCAGTATTTCCACAGTGGCTACTCAAAATGATTTATTGTTCTCTTTGGCTTTAGTAGTTGGATCCCAGTTCCATGGGCCGTTCTGCGCTGGCTGTTCCTGGTTATTCTAGTAGCATCTTTAATCATCATTCAGCGCAACAGGACATAGAAAAGTGGTGAGTTTCTTTTAACTGTAAAGACAATTGTCATTCAGTTCAATAGCACAATTAACAGTGTAACAATTCTCTACCAAACGGTCAAGCAAAGATGCTCGTGTGTATAATTCTATATAAAAGCGATGTATTAAAATACTGTTAATGTGCATTTCACGAATATATGCTCAAATGTGACTTGAGAGACTAGGCAGGTTTTGATTTTTTTATTTCATTTGCTGTAAATATTTTACCAGATTTATAAAGACAATTTCCATTTCTACTGAAGCTTTTTAAACCTATGATCAAGGAAAAAAAGCTTATTTACTGAACAGAAGCAGTTTCCTGCTTCTGCACTGCTGGAAGCTAGCAGTTCTCCCTAGAACGCTGCTTCTGGGTATTGCCAGTAGTGTGCACTCTGATATACTTACTCCCAAGCAGTAAATCTTTGACCCACCAGGTCTTAATATATGGTGTACTTATTCTCTGAAGGTTTTTTAAGTGTAAAATTTTAATTGCTTTACATTTCTGTTCATATCAATGGAACTGTTTTCTCATGTGGTTTTGGCATGAGGTTTAAAAAACAAAACCAAATACCAACAGAAGTTGAGTCCTAAGACTAATACTGTAGTGAGTTGCAGCTCTTTGCTAGCAAAAACCTGATACTTTGCTCTTATGATACGTCCTGGTCACGACACCTTACCAATTGTTTCCTCTTCCTTTATATACCATAAGCCTGGAGATATTTGATTAAAATATAGATACTTTGAATTAAAAAACCTACCAGTAAAATTGTATTAACAAAATCAAAGGTACCCACAGCTTATAAATTTGTCCCAAATCCTTGATAAATGAGAACGTCATGCTTCTTTAAGAATGAGCTGCCTGCTTGCAGCTTGACCCAACCGTACCCTTATTCACTAATAAAGATGCCCATTCAAGAAATATTTAAGAGGCCCAAATTATTCATGGATCATGAGCATAAGTCAAATCTGGAACCTGCATGGGAATCAAGGAAAATTATTTTTCCATAGTAGAAGATTCAACTCCTAATGTGCCAGGATGATGCATCTATATTTATCCTGCTGCTCTTCTGTATACAAGGGCAGGTGGCTATGCAGCATCTAGACTACTTAACCACCTGCTGGGTTTCATACCGGGCTGCTCTGAATGGGTTTGAGTGCAGGGTTCAAACACAATCAGAAAGCACATTACAATAAAAATATCCTTTGGTTTTAAGATTAAAACAAACTGAAATATTTTATTTTTAAGACTTCATTTCCAGAATCTTTGAAGTGTCCCCCTCCATTATCCCACCAAGAGAAGGTCAGAGAGACTCGCATGGGCTTTGGTGAAGTCTAATTTCCAGGCCATCACCTGCATTGCGATATTGCCTACCCCCTAGCACAGGAGAGTGCGGTCATCTGGACCTGTTATCAGTAGAACATCTTGACACCTCCAGCACACTAGGTCACCCAAAAGACCACACTTCTCTGTACACCATTCAGCATACAGGAAGCAATGTCTTGATAAACTCCGAATACACAGACTGTTCTAGCAACAAAGACAATATGCAAAATCCAGTTTCCAGTCACATTTATAACTCTCTCTTTTGCATGTGGGCTGCACTCTATGTTCTAAAAATGCATTTGACAGATGCTGTGCACACAAAACAGGTTCAGGTAGCTTGTGCGTTCATCACATTAATCTGAAACCTACATAAGGTTCCTAGACGGAGATAATGCCTGTGTGTATATTTGGGGTCCACCCTTCCCAGCCAGGCTTCCCCAGATCCAGGCCAGAGTACCTAGTCCTGCTCCACCAGACATCACTGCTAGGAGACAGGGTCAAGGGGCTCCAACTCCATTAGCCTTTAAAAAAAAAATCCTACTATGCCAAACTACTCCACCTTACACAACTTCCTAGTGAAACTTCTCCAGCTGACAAGACCCAAACATCCAGAGTGAGTCTACAGTGGCAGAAAGGAGAAGACTTCAAACTGGGAACCAGATATGAGAGGAGCAAAACCCCCTAAACTTCCTAGACACTCAAAAGATTCTGCACCAGTAGTGAAAATCTCAGACTGAGTGTCCCTGGATAGATAGCCAGCAAAGCAACGCCTTTGGGGATTTCAGAGTTAGTTACAGACTTGCAAAAAATAAACAAAATGGCAGAATTATTGGATTTTTGTCACAAATCCAGTTCAGAGTACTTCTGCAGAACTCTTGCCTGGTTTTCTGAGTGGCCTCTCTATAGACCTCTCTATCCCCAAAAGAGACATTTCTGTCAAATTTAAATTTTGTAAAAGCAATCCTTCATGTAACTGTAGAGCAACAGAAATGTGTGAAAATTCTAAGGGAAAAACCACCAGTTTTAAAACAAACACTGACCTGTAGCGTTTGAAACCCAAACATGGCCACACTAAGCCCCTGTACGCCAGTGAAACTGATGCCATTGTCCAAGTAGAAAGAAATGCAGATAGCAAATGAAGTGCATAAGAATGACAAACTGGATTTTTATATTCTTCCCTTCCAGTGATCCAGGGTGTGTTAGTAACAGAGACACACACTTTTCCATTTAAAAATCAGGTTGCAAACATCTTCCATTTGAGAGGCTGTAAGGACAAATCCCCTAATTAAATCAACTAGCAATACAGCTACTTTCCCTCAAGCCAGCTCACACCCTGCCGGATTTCCACTCCGAGGGGCCCACAAGACCCAGATCCAGGTTGGAATTAAGTATTTAATAATTACCCTATTGCCTAGAGACCCCAAAAGAGGATTGGAGCCTCTTGTGTTGGGTACTGTGCAAGCACACAATAGGAGATGTGGTCACTGCCCTGAACAGCTTACAATATGAGACCAGATGGGAGGAAAAGGATGCAATCAAATTCATATAGTTTGCATAGATACAGATTCGTTTGCTCATTTTATTAAAAATACATTAAGTTGGGCCACCGTGCTCATCAGCCTCTCAGCCCAGACATCACTGACCCACTGATTTCATACAGGTGTCAGAGCGGAGTCTGGAGGAGAGGGAAGTAGGTTTACAGAGGAATTCCAAATAACTCCCCACAGATCCCTTGAGTAGCAGCAGCTGGCTTCTGAGGGGACCGCTGGTGGGGTGGAACCATCTCTCTATGACCGCCCCAGTGATGGTTTGGGGTGGGACATTCCAGGTTGAGCTGGCTCTCCCACAGAGTCCTCTATGGTATGTAGGCCTTGTTTCACTGACCTACTCATATAATGAACTGATTCAACAGCAGCATCCCAAAGAGCCCTCTGCAAACTGCAGGATCATGTAAAACCTTGAATCCTTATGGAATCACTCCAGCAAACCCAAGTGTAATGTGGCACAGGCTAAGACACAGATTTGGTGTAACTGATTTTACTGCAGAGCATATATACCAGTAGCTCCTGGGGGACTGTATGTGAGTGCCTCTTTCTGTTAATACCAACTCCTAGAGGTAGCAGGAGGAGGTTTCACTGGGCTTTCAGTGAGCATGGCCAGCTAGAGAAGACAATTCCCCTAATTGTAGAAGTTTGTTAACTCTTAGAGCGCTACAGAAGTAGGATGGCCAAGAGGGTTCAGTGCTACCAGTTCTCACATCTGTGGGCTCTGCTATAAATAGCATTCTTCTTGTTCACAATGTCCTCCTTTTTGGCTTGCTCGGACTCAATTCCTTGGCTGTTCTGTTTCCCAACATGATACTAGGCAGCCATCTCTGGCTCACTCTCCCTTCGCCGTTACAGGGTAGCAGTTCAGCACCAAAGCTGGCAGAACAAAAGTGTCGCTGTCAGTCCTCACACTTAAAAGTTGCATTTACAGCCTATGTTGCAGGGAAACCAAATCAATCCTACAAATTATTTGTAAACGAATAAGTGCAAGAACAAGAGAGCCACATCTGGTGTGGAAGAATAGCTCCGTGTTGAGGTGTCCCAATTACTGACTGGATCGATCTTCGGGGCAGAGGGAAGTAGAAAGACTGATGGCTGGGAAAACAATTTTCAGAAAAACAGTTTAATAGTTTAAGTCAAGTCATTGAAATCTGCCATTTCACTCCCTGGGAGGCAGCGTAGCCTTTTCCATCAGTTTTCAAAGTTCTCCTAAAAGAATTGAAAGAAAGAATTAAAAACAATGGTTAAAGGAACTAGCAGTAAGAGAGATGGCCCAAGTGCAAGATAGGGAAACCAGTTCTACTCCCACCTTCACGCCAACTTTCCCTCTGGCCTGGGCCAAGTCACTTCATCTTGCCAGGCCTCAGTTTCTTCAGCAGTAAAATGGGGAGCCCTGCCCCCACAAGGGGGTGAGAGAAAGTGTCTGTAAAGCCCTTAGGAGCTAGAAACAGCAACATATGATTAACTTTTATTCCTTATGAACTTATCTAGGGCAGAAATGTTAGAGACTCAGGGCGCTGACAAAATCCTGTTGAAGTCAATAGGAAGGATACCATTGACTTCAGTGAAGGCAGGATTTCACCAAGACGTTTAACACAGCAGTGCTTCAGATAGACAACAACACCTGACAATAACACCTGAAACGTAGGACTATTAGGGGGAACAATCTGGTGTTTTTGGGGTCAGTGGCCAGCAATGCCAGGGCATGCCCCAGGATGGCATGTTGCAGGGCTGAGCAGCTAGGCTGACAAGGTTAGGACATCTCCTTGGACGTGCCAATGAATGGTGCCCTCAGAACACTGGGTCACACTGTAGCCAGTTCAGACTAGCAAAGGAACAGAGCCACAAGTGCCAACAGAAGAATTTCAGTGACCCTTGAGCACTCACCCAGCCACCACGGGTCTCGATGTATCCTCTCACTTCACGGTTCCCATTAATCAGCTCCACAAGCTGGATTTGACGGGCCACAGCTGGAACTTTCCGGGAAAGGTATGCTAACAATTTCACAGACACTGCCAGAAAAGCTCTCTCGTAACCCAGCCCAGGATTCAGGCTGCTCCAACTCTTGCTGAGAGAATCCACCATGACTCCAAATTCCTCCACCTGGAAACACCAAGAGGCGGCTTTATAAAATACCACCATTAAAATAAGTCTTGGTTCAAACCCCACAGAGTTACCCAGGCCTGGCTTGCTCTGCTCTATGATTGAGGCAGGTGACCCCTTTGGCCAGTGCATTGCTTGGTACATCTGAAGTCGGACTGTAAGATTGTCAGGGCAGAGACTATATGTATTATGTGTTTGTACGGTGCTACTGTAGTTCACACAACAGTGCTGGGGGAGAAGGAAGGGCAGTTTCCAACGTAACGAGGACTGCAAAGAGCTTAGAGCTAGAGGTGCACGAGCATTCATATTGAAACTGGGCTGGGATGAGTTCCAACCTCAGACCAGGCTCATGTCAGGTCAGCTAACACAGGCTGGGGCTGTTCAGACAGCTCCCCTTCTTCATTCCCCTCCCGCCCCCCGTCGTCCAAGAGCAGCCCCTCCCATCTCAAGACAAAGCATCCTCTCACATCACAGCACTTCAGTTAAGAAAGGAGGTGCCGGGCTCTACAGCATCTTGCAGGAGAGGGACAGACCCTGGCCTAAACAAAGAGAGGGCTTGTGCATTACCTTTCCCTTAGCCATCTCAGCAATGACGCGCCGGGCAGGCTGCTCCAGATCCTCGTTATATTGGTCTCCTAGTCTCCGCAGACGACTGGCAATAATAACCGAATCAAAGGTACTTGAGCTCTCTGCAGGAGCAGAAGCTTCATGTTCTAAGACGGCAGAGAGAGAGCAGGAAAAAGGGGTACAACCTGCAGGTCAAGTGGTTGAGGTTGAGAATGCCTGTTTCATATCTAAACTTATTTTTTAATTATTTTATATTACATGAAAAAAATAGTGTTAAAAGAATGTGAAGTCAGGCACACAGAAGTTAGGAAATGCCAGATGAAGATTCCCCATGCAACCTTAATTTGGACCCCTTGTGCGGATGCAGTATGGGATGATCTTTAATTATATTATCACAGAATATTTCCTAATTAAAAAATCCAAAAGACTAAAAACCAGAATTTTTATCATGTGGAATCATATGGACACCTGATTTGGGTCATCAGTCCGGTTCAGCTCTTTAGATCCGCAGCACAGACCTGTACCACTTGAGTTAAGAGAGTAACTGGTAACAGAAGAGGTGGGCTGTAGTCCACGAAAGCTTATGCTCTAATAAATCTGTTAGTCTCTAAGGTGCCACAAGTACTCCTGTTCTTTTTTTGGTAACAGAACGAGGCTGAGTACGAGGTTCAGGCAATAGGCGAGACACACCGTTTGCCAAAGGGGTTAGCACAGCTATTTGCTGACAGCAGAGGAACACAGACAACTCCTGGGTTCAAATCTAGGTTCCGGAGGACAGTGTGTCTAATGGTGAGACCGTTCTGCCCTTGCCCCTGGCTCCCACAAGCCTGACCCTCTCTGCCCCCTCCCATCTGTCTCAATCCCTCCACCTGACATGGGTTCATGTCCCAGTTCACTACCCTTTCCAGACTCTAGTCTCATCCTCCTACCAACATCCCCAATGCCCAACTTATTTCTTCCTCCTCCTCCATGCTTCCTGGCAGCCAGCAGGGGGAGCAATGAGAACAAATTAGAGATTCTCTGATTTGGTGCCCAGTACCCCAGCAGCCCCTGTCAGCTGGGAGCAGCATTTGCAGAAAAAGTCCTGCTTATCCTCCGCATTTCCAGGCTGGAATATGCTCAGTACAGGCAGAATCTTCAGCAAATTCACCCGTCAAACCATTTAGTTTCTAATAAATGTGCAAACTGCAATTTTTCAAAGGCTTAACAATTTAGCCAGTTTGGGCTCTTTTGCCACAGGGATGGTAAAAGGCACAATCCTGACACCAATGTGCCCTCTGCCCAAGTTCCAAGTTCCTGCTCAAATGCAGGATGGTGCTAGAGCTTCTCAGCAGAACGGTTTTAAAAATTTAAGATGGGCAAAACACACATTTCCCTAAACGTTCTAAGAAATAACTATTTTTGCCTGACATTTTCCAAAGCAGAGTTCAGCCTGAGGCAAATGCCCAGCACTGAAAATTTCAATCCAAATTGTTACACTTTGGCAAAGTTGTAAGCCACTGAAGATCGGAAGTGTTGAGCAACTTTATCTAGCGGGGTTGCTAGCTGCTCCGCCCAGGCTGGGTAAGTCCAAGTTGCCCTTTCTTATTACATTGCTAAGTTGCTCTTATTATTTCAAATATTTGGATATTTTAATATTTAGCAGCCCCTAACCCCCTGTAGAACTCTGGTTTAAACCCCACACTAGATTCCACAGGTTCAGGAAAACTTAATTTGAGCTGCAGCCATTCACCAGGCTGTTTTCACAATACTCCAGTCAGTGGAAATAGACTTGTACATGACCCATTAGCCTGATGGGAGCTCAGCACAGGGGACAGGCAGATGGGAGACACCCTCTGAGCCAAGCTTCCCTTCCTCCTTCAGCTCCCTCCTCCAAGGATGCTTCCATGAAACCTTTGAGAAACAAATGCTGCTTGATGCTTATAGCACCTCCCACTTGCACCAACTTACAGCCACTCTCTGGGCCCGATTGTCTTTTGGCTGGGTCTGAACTAGACTGTACATTCCCTGGGACGGAGACCAGACCCTTCCTTATTTGTTAACCCCCAAGTACAGTGTTGGTACTCGATACATTAATGATAATTAGTTCTTTGGTTACAAGGACCAGGACCAGTTACACTTTCCCCATCACTATTAGGACAAGTTATTTTTATGGAGATTTGGCGAGTGAAAAAGTTACTGGCATTTATAACTTGAATCCAAAAATCCCAGGTGCTCTACAGACTATTACAAATATATGTAATCTGCACATTTGTGATGCAGCCTGGGTTTTTCAATGACAAGCAGTCAGGATCTCCATTTTGCATCTCATTGGAAAGAGTCCTTTCCAATAGCATAGTTCTCCATAGCCCATCAGGGAAATGGTTCAACCTGGACCGAGAGGTAAGGGCAACACCGCTCCTTGCAGTCACCTGAAGACTCTCATGGAAATACTGACCTGTGCCAACTCCACTTTGCTTGAGACCTGCCAGCCCAAACTGCAGCCCACTTCTCTATCCATTCCAGGAACACCCCAACAGGGCATTTACCTAGAACCTTCAGCCAAGAAAGCCTCCTGCCTCCCACCAGAGATTTGGTCCCAGGTGACTTTACCTGCATGTGACTCAGCAAAAGAGTCTGTCTCCAGACTGCGGGAAGCAAACCATTCGTCTTCCCCTAGGAGATCAGAGAGAAGTGCCTCCACAATGCACTCTGTTTGCTCCTCAAAAGTCCTAGGGCTCTTCATTTTAATACGTCCCCCCCTTGGATTATCTGAAGTTCAAACAGAAGCCAAGTTGCCCCTGCAGCTGTTCCTCTTCCGGGTAAGGTTTGTGCACAGAACCTTTAGAAGCTTTCCTCCTTCCTGGTCAGCTCAGCATGCGTCACACCCTCCCAAGGGCAAGTGCCTTAGGGAGACTCCTCCTCCCCAGGGCAGGGTAAAGCACTGACAGGCTATTTCAGCCCTCAGTCTTGCTCTCCTGCGCATGGGTGTGGCAAAGTTTCACAATAACCATTTATTGTAAAACACAGCTGTCGAGAATGAAGTTTTGCCAAAGTCCATGCTTCACCAAGGGATACCCTGCCTAGAATGAGTCTTGGACTCAAAGGTCATGTCTACACAGGGATTGGAACCAGGTTACCTGCAACTGTGTAAACATGAGGAATTGCTGACAGGGTACAAGGGTGCTTTTGCTGATAATTTCATAATGCAAATATGCTCCCATCACCCAGAGTAGCCAGAGGTGTGGCTAAGTGAGCTCAGCTCACACAGGAAAGGTCCTGTAAGCTGGTGATAAGACACACCAGACTACAGTCTGTGCTTAAACCCAACTGCAGCTATAGCAGGCAGCCTTAGCGTGACCATACCTGCTGAATGCTTACTTACTGCAGAGAACAAATCCACAAAGACTGTCAGTGGACTTCACAGCAAATTCTGCGCTGCTGCTCCCAAGGTAGCAAGAGCAGCCACTTCACCAGCACAAGAGGGGTTTTATGGCAATGAGGGAAGAAGCCATTCCCTAAGTGTGGGAGGTCTAACCTGGTGTGGCTCTTAACTCAGAGTCACAGGGTGGACACTGAGGGTACATCTACACTGCATACAAAAAGCCATGGCAGCAAGTCTCAGAACCTGGGTCAGCGGACGCCAGCTGGGAGCTAAAAATAGCTAGTTGTGTAGACATTCCCAGTTGCGCTGATGCCCAAGCTCTGAAACCCAAAAGTGGGGTCTCCAGCCTGAGTGGGCACTTCTACACAGCTCTTTTTAGCCCTGTAGCATGAGCCCATGTCAGTTGCTGGGGGCTCTGAGACTTGCTGCCATGGTTTTTTTGGGGGGAAGGGGCAATGTAGACATGCCTTAAGAGGGAGTTGGTTCAACCCACCTGTGCCTCATTACCCATCTCACAGTGGCACATGATAGGGGACAGCTGGTCTCTATCAAGAGAGGGGAAAAGGAAACAGTGACATACAGTGCAAGAGCTGCTGTGAGCAAGAGGCTCCTGGTGCAGACTACGGGGGAAAAGAAAAGAACACTCCAGGAAGCGTTGGGAGTGGCCTACTAAAAGCAGCCAGTTGAGTTGAACTTCATAGACTTTATTTGGGGATTTTGAAGTTAATAAGCCCAGCCCCTAAGGAGCAGTGGTTGAACAGAGAGAAGCCTGCATGTAGTTTACTGCAGAGCCCTGAAAAGGAACACTAAGGGTCTGTCTCCACTGCATACTCCATATGGCAGCACGTCGAGTACATACACTGCATGCCCCTCTAGCACAGGTATAAACAACATTCCCAGTCCTCTCTAGAGAGATCTGACTCCAATATTAAATCTTTCTTTTATTCATGTAACTAGCACTGGAGTTGTTCCTGCTTCAGTGACCCCATCAGAAGCACCAGACTGATGATCCATCCCCCAGCCTTCAGAGTTGCGAGACCTTGATGGATTTTGAATCTTTCCCGTGCACCTGTTATAATGCAGTATGTGAAGAAACTAGCGACACTCGCACCATATGCTGCCCTGGGCCACACACTATTCCCACTGGCACTAATGGCAGCTCTAAGGCAGATCGGGGCTGTTCAAGGCTCTTACAAACAGTTTAGAAGAAGAGCAATTTAACTTCAGTAACACCACGCTGAGCCGCAGAAAAGATCTTCCCTGCACCCCAAGTGAGGCTGCTCCGAACAGGGCTTAGAGGAATCAGGATTTCAGCCCTAGGACTGTCCCCATTACAGTTCTTAACACTGAGATAAAGTGTTGCAGCGCCTCAGTCCTCTCCTCGCTCTGCTTCACTGAAACCTGCATGTCGGAGTTCTCAGTCTCAAGCAGCAGTTCTGTTAGGAAGAGACAGCCAGACTCATCCTGGGCACTGAGATAGGCTTTCCATGGCTGGGCACCAGCTTTGCTCATAGCAATAGTCTGGATGTGGACAACCTGAAGCGCAGTCTGTATGGTGTCTGGGTGAGCAGCTCCATGCCAGGGCAGAGCCTGCTGGCAGTTCACATCCAGACTCAGCCAGGTCTTCTCAAACTGCTCTGCAGTCAGGTGTGCCTTGGGGATTAAAGTCAAGCCAGCCGAGTCGGAATGAACCTGGAGAACTTCCTTATTCTCTTCTGAAATCAGTGACTCTGAAATCAAATATGGAACAGGGTGAGAAATGGCATTGGGAATGCTGCCCCCAGTATCACCAAGAGTGTCTGACGGACCTATCAGCAACACAAACCCAGGAAGTGTAATGCCTCCAATATTCCACCGGGGTGAGCAGACTGTGAACAGCCAAGTGTTGAGTGAAAGGCTGAGACCCCATAACAGCCTTTTGAACTCAAGGCTTCAGTGCTAAAATCTGGGATCCTCCCGGAGGGTCAAACATAGGAAGATTTATCGATGGAGGAAGGTATTTTTCTAGCTGAGCGTGTGACTACCTGTTCCTGCAGTCATCGGAGCAGCAAAGGGAAAGCCTCCGCAGCGCGGCTCCGTTGCCCAGTTAGCAGTGACAACTGCCCAGCGCGCTTTCCCATATATGGGCACCAACGTGTTAAACTCTGAAGCCCATTTGTTCACAGGTCGCTCAGCCTGATCCTCCAGGAGTCCCAGAGAGGGATCAGACTTGGGGCTGCACAGCACTTGCTTCGCTTCTTCCACGCCAGCTTGTAAGAGACGATAGTAGAACAGCCCCCGGTCCCGTACCACCATATCAGTCTCTTCCTCTGGAAAGATGAACACACACACGTTCACTCAGGGCATGCTAGCATTCATAGATCAGACCTCAATGGACAACCCTTCGCTGGTACATACCAACCCACACCTGGATCCTGAGTGCCGTCCATTTCCTCTACCACTTTGCAGAGCTAGGGGCCAAACAGCAGCAGGAATAGCAGCAGCAAGGTGGTAAACAGGAGCAAGGGCAAAGAGGCAGACAGGAAGAGGGCTAGATTCTGCATTTGCATCCACATAGGAGGAGGTCAAAAACTTATTTTAAAACTAATCCGGATCTTTGAGCCGAGGAGTTTCTGCCACAAAATTCTCCATCTGTCAGGGTGTGCGAGAGTCCTCAGCAGGGACATACCCACCTATGCAGTAATACAGCAGGTGCCCTGACATAAATTTAGCACAGGGCTGCGGGCATGAGAGTCTCAGCAAGACATACCCACCTATGCAGTAATAGAGCAGTCGCCCGAGTATGTCCTGGCATTCGGCAGGACGAAACAGGAAGAGTCGGACCAAAGCTGTCAGCAACTCCATCTTCACTGCTGGAAACGTCTCCGATCTCACATTCTCGACAAAGTCCTCCAAAACATAGGGAGCATTGGGAACTCTCTCCCCATGCACTCCCAGGAGCCAGATCAGCGCTTGCTTGCCCTGGGGAGTCAAACAACACCACCGGATGCTCAGAGCCAAGCCACTCCACACTGCACTCCTAGTACAACCTGTGACCAAGGACCTTTGACACCAACTGGCAGAAGGCACAGGGGTACATACGAGTACAGGGATCCCCTGGGTTCACCAAAAGGGGTCATGTGGTGGCCATATTCATTGCAAGATGTATGTAAGGAAAGCGTGAGGAGTTATGTATACATGCTGAAAATTATGTTCTCTAGGTTTTGTAGGTAAAGGCAGGTCACTCAAAGATTCTGTGCCTTGAGACAAACTTCTCCAGACAGGAGATGGGAGACCTGGTGGACAATTGTGTACCGTGGGTCTTACAACAGAAGTTTAACAATATACTAAATCAAATGCTGAAGAAGAGCTTGCGGAGACTTCAGAAGGAAATTAACAGGAACAGCTGGGGGAGAGGTAGAAACCTATTTTCAGGTAAAGATCAAAAGGTCTGGAATATCTGGGGCTCTACAGAAACATCCTGGCATCCCTCAATCTCTGAAGACAAGTGGTCAGTTAGCTTGAGGTTATGAAAGGGGGCTCTCAGCCATCCTGGCTAAAAACACTGAGAAAAGGACTTGGACTAAGCGATCCTGTAGGAGACAGGGAATATCTTGTGAGTTAAGTTTTGGCTCTAAAAGGCACATCATGTTATGATTTTCCTTTACATGTAACCATCTGTTTCTAATATTTTTATTTACTGTCACTTGAATCTCTGCTCTTTGATAAAGTTATTGTTTTCACTATAAATCTATCTAAGTGCTGCGTGTTAAGTGGAGTGGGGATCCGGAGTTGAACCATGTGTAAGTTGGTGTGTACTGTTCTTCGGGAGAAGCAAAGCTGAGTTCTGAATGTTCAGTGGAACAGGAGCTGGGTAGTCCAGAAGCTTGGTACATGCCTATTGTTAACCTGTAGAGAGAGTGCGATGCCTGCGGACACCTGGATGGCAGTGCTTGTATTACATGCAGCAGGCACTGACAAGACTCCCTCACGCTAAGGGCAGGAATTAGCAAGGTGCCTCATAACCCTGGGTACCCCTGAGAAGAATCACACCACCACCGGAGCATCAGGTCAACTGGGAACCCCAGGCTGCAGCTCACCAGGATGCCCTAAATACAGTGGTTATCTGGGGTTAAGGGAAGCGGTGGGATCTCCGTTGTCCTAGCCCAAAAGGGGCCATGTACAGACAACTTGGCTGACATCACTGTACTGAGGAGGGGCCTGCAAACAGTGCTGCTCTAAACTGCCAAGCAGCAGGTGCTCACAGATTCAAAGACCAGAGCTTCCCTGCACCCCATGGAGAAGTTTTTCTACAACCTAGGAGCTCCCATCATTCAGATGCTCTTGAGATTCAGCCTGAATTTGACTAGGAGGGATAGGACGTAACTGAACAAAGGCATAATCCCTCATCCCAACCCAAATGATTCCTCTCCCTCCTTGGTGCTCACACCCTTCAAATACTTGTTTGGCCACTCCAAGCAGAGCTGGCTCTGTTTATCAGAGTTCTACATGACAGGAGACGGATCGCCATTCGGCTAACTGCATGAAGCCTCCCTACCTCGCTGTCCTGCATGGCCTCCTCACAGCTGGGCAGAGCCTGGCACACAGCCTCAGTGCACTGGGGACAAAGCCACACCAGGTCCCGGAAAGCCTGCACCACAGCTGCAGTGGAACAGAATGCTCAGTATCTAACAGCAGCTTTTTAAAATCACCACCCCAAGAAAATAATTCACCATCGATTCGGAGCGAGCCAGGTCAGTGCTGCACTCATTCATGCTATTTGGAGCACTTTTCTTCAAAGCCTCACACAGCACTGGGGTTGGCCATAGTAAACGTAAAACCTTTGCTCCCCCCCCATCCAAAATAAAATGTTTAAATGGCAAAGATTGCTTCTTTGGCTGCATTGAAGCAATCTCCCCCAGCCATCCCCTGTCCTTGAGAAGGCAGTGACTGACTGTCTCATAGCAACAGTGTTTTAAGGTGAGTCTCATCAACACTCCGCAGCAACCGCTGCTAACTTATAAACTTGCATATACATTCTAAAAATTAATTCATTTGGTGACTGGAAAAAACTGCAATTTTGAAAGCCCATAAAAGGTGGAGAAAAATTATTCAAAAGAAGCGAGTGAAACAGTGACTGATGTTAAATCTGAAAGCAGCAGGGAAACCAGAGAGAGGAGAGTCAGTTACATCAGTGACTGAAATTACAAAAGGGGCAGAGACTAAAGCAGCCAGTGGGAAACAACTTCAAGGTCAGAACTTTCAATCAACTTGACCTTTATAAAAGAACCATTAAAATATCTCAGTACAGTCCCTCACTCCCTGAGCTAGCAGGTTCAGTCCACATCACACGGTGGATGGAGCTGTGTCCAATCCCCGCTTAAGCACAAGGAAGGTAGCTAAGATAGGAGAAGTTATGAAGTCCACACAAGGAAGATGCCTACCAGGTTAGAAGCCACACCAAATGATTATCTTGTGGTCACCTGGACAGGGATTTCCCAAATCCCAGCCCAGAGCCACACAACTCTACCAAAGCTAGATGTCCTGGTGGCGAGGCCATTTCTTGA